AGGTACCACCAACACCCAAGGCCCAATTTTTTTTTCACTGTTTGACAGGCACATGTAATTTAAAATTTTTACAATTTGTTTCTCATTTTTAACAATTTTTAACAGCAGGGCCCATTCAAATCAAGGATCTGCTAGGTATTTAGGGGGGACCTCAATCCCCCCCCCCATTTTTTTGGGGCTGCTTCCCCCCCCCCCCCCATTTTTTTGGGTGGAATTTCCCTTAAAAATCCTAGCAGACCTAAAGGGTCTGGTATGGCTTTTAGAGGGAACCCCAAGCATTTTTTAAAAAAAATTTACTGTGGGGTCCCTCCTAACCTTCCTACCAGACCTAAAGAGTTTTTCTTTTATAAAAATATAATTTAAAAAAAAAACGTCAGTCCTGCTGCAGCAGGTTCTATGCATTGTACAGATGTGCAACTTTGCTGGTAGTTTAACCACTTGCCGACCAGCCACTGTAGAAATACGGTGGCAGGTTGGCACGGCTGGGCAAAAGCACGTTTTAAAATGTGCTTTTGCAAAACAGGTAGGGGGCGCGCGCGAGGCGCGCCGCCCTACCTGCATCGCCGATCCCAGCCACGGCATTAGCGGCAATCACTGATAGAGAGCAGGGCTGCAGTAGCTCTGCTTTCTGTTAGTTCCCTGACAGCTCCTGACACGCTGATCAGGAGAGAAGAGTTTATCTCTCCCAATCAGCATGTCCCCGTGCAGTACACACCCTCACACCCTAGTAAAACACTCCCCTCACACAGTTAACCCTTTCAGTGAATAAAAAAAGTTAACCCCTTCCTCCCCAGTGCCATTAGTACAGTGTCAGTGTTTTTTTTTTTTTGCACTGATCACTGTATTGGTGTCACTGGGGATGTCAGTGACCCCAAGTCAGTTCCCCCCCAGTGTCAGAATGTCCGCTGCAGTCCTGCCATAAGTCGCTGATCGCCGCCATTATTAGTATAAAAAAAAATTAAAAATCCGAGTATCTTTCCCGCCATTTGTAAACGCTATAACTTTCACGTAAACCCATTAATTTACACGTATTGGGGTTTTTATTAGCAAAGACATGTCGCAGAATGCATTTTGGCCAAAATTTATGACAATTTGATTTTTCAATTTTTTTTACTGAACATGTTTTTATAGCAAAAAGTTCAAAATATTGTTTTTTTTTCTCAAAATTGTCAGCTTTTTTTTTTTTATAGCACAAAAAATAAAAACCACACAGGCGATCAAATACCACCAAAAGAAAGCTCTATTTGTGTGAAAAAAAGTACATAAATTTCATTTATGTACCGTATTGCATGACCGCGCAATTGTCCGTTAAACTAGCGCAGCACTGTATAGGAAAAAAATAGCGTAAATTGCAGTATCTATACCATAGTTTGTAGACGCTATAACTTTCACACAAAGCAATCAATATACACTTATTGGGATTTTTTTTAACAAAAACATGTAGCAGAATACATTTTGGCCTAAATTTATAAATAACTTTGAGTTTACTATATATTTTTTTATAGCTGAAAGTAAAAAATATCGTTTTTCTTCAAAAATTTGGGTCTTTTTTTGTTTATAGCGTGAAAAATAAAAAGTGCACAGGTGATCAAATACCACCAAAAGAAAGCTCAATTTGTGTGAAAAAAAAAGGGCATAAATTTCATTTGAGTGTAGCATTGCATGACCGCGCAATTATCAGTTGAATTAGTGCAGCGCCGAGTAGCAAAAAGAGGCCTGGTCATTAAGGGGGGTAAATCCTCAGGAGGGCAAGTGGTTAAGGTGACCCCCCAGGCATTATATTTAAAGGATTTTTTTTTTTTTTTTACTTTAAGCAATGAAAAATGACTGTCCCTTTTAAAAACAGTACTTTTTACATTTTTTTTCACTGATGCATGTCCGATGCAGTAACCGAGTCCCCATACTCCTTTTATGGCCAATAACTTGCATATAAGCCTTTAAAATGGGCACTTTTGAATTTACAAGTTCGAGTCCCATAGACTTGAATTCGAAGTTCACGGTTGAGCGTTTGTTCGAATGTTCGACCATGAACCGAACAAGGATATTATCTCCATGAAAATTGGATGAGTTGGCTCTGTTCTCACCAGCCAAACAAAAAATATAGCGGTAGACTCCATATTTGGGCCTAAAGGGTGTATGTGTGTGAAAGACAGATTGTCTTTGTCCACATTGGCGGAAATCAATCAATGCAAATGTTTCTATGTACTCTGTTGAGCACATAACATGCTGTTACAGTACAAATACTGGAATTAAATCAAGAAAATAGTCAAGTACAGTACTCATGATGCCATTACTAGTTTGCACTATATTATATATATAGTTTGCACTATATTATTCCTTAAAATGGCTTTGTTATTAAGCATATCTAAGCCATGACATTTTTATGGGGGAAGGGGGGAGTCTTTTCATCACTTTTGTTAGGAAACATACAAAAGTTACAAAACAACCTTAATGCAACAAGACAAAACAATACACTACAGACAAGATAAGGTACTTCCGACTCCAACTGAGCCAGAACTAGCAAAACAATCTATCCACCATCTTGTAATGCTACCCAAAATAATCCCTCCCACCCAACCAGGCCATGGCAACTCCTTCAGCAATGGAGTATTTAGGAGTGCTCAACCTATTTGAAGAGCAAGGGCCATTTAAGTGATTTGGTAACTGGTCAAGAGCCAGAATAAAATGAAATAGCTCAGAATTTCAAATTTTTTATTTTGAATAGTATAATGAACATTTTCCTCCTGCAGTCGTTGAATGCAAGAGGGAGGGAGAGGATGAAAAGCTTCAGTTGCAGGAGGAAAATGAAGAGAATCGGTTCCTGTATAAGACGCCACTGCCACCCGTCCTGTCCAAGTGTGAAACAGAATATGACAAAGAGGCTGCATGGGTCCCCTGGAGCATGGGGCGGTGTCACCCATTGTGACCCCTGAGGCTACACCAGTGGTTGAAGTTGTGTAGTAAAATAAGACTCATCTATGTGGTTTTACCAGACTGCAAATGTAAATGAGTCCTTACAGTACTAAGCCCCCTATGAGGCTGCTCTCACGCTTTGCTGTGGTTTGCCTGTTCCGCAGTGCACCTGCAGCTTTCCTGCGGGTTAGCTGCGCTTTGCCATAGACTTCTATTATATCTTGAGGGTGTGGTACATTTTCTAAAAGTGAAGCAAAACCCCTGCATTCAGTTTGAGGTCAAAGATCACATCAGAGGGTTCCGAGGGCCACAGGTTGAGCACCCCTGATTTAAAATAACATTCCCCAACAGTGCAAGAATGGAATTCACCTATGGAGATTAAACATACTAAATCTCATAGTACACAATTTACCCATTTACCCAACAGACATCCACTGTTCTCTGCATCTCTAGCGCCTTAACCCTTTCAGTAAACAACTCCTTATACACTTCAGACAAGGTTTTAATCAATGAATCAGAACACAACAACTGTTATAAGTAGAAGGCCTGAGTCTCCAGGGTGACATCTCCAAACTGTGAGGTAGGTCTTTCCATGCCTCCAATCTCTTTTTAAGAGTATGGATTAACTGCAAAAGATTAAATTCCAGGTAATCTCCAAATCTAGGTGAGAGTAATTACCAGATAGGTATAGTCAGAAAACCACTGTATGGGAATATCGTGGTCCGCTTGGGCTCTAGTTCCTTTATCAATGGGCATGACACTAGAATTCACCCAATTTACCTTAAGAATACTGGAAAAGTTAGCCAAAACCTGGAAGACAGCACGTAGGGATGGGCCAGGGTCTTGTAGGAACAAAAGGAGGTCATCTGTGTATAAAGCTGAGCAGTTATGAAAACCCCCTCACCTCAGGAGATGTTCAGAGGGCAATGACAATAGGCTCTTTCATGAGCACAAATAAAGAGGGGCGAGAGGGTACCTCTGTCTGGTTCCTCTGCCAAAGGGAAAAAAAAGGGGAGACCATACTACCAATTCTTCAGGTGACGATACAGTATGGAGATCAAAATGTAGACAGGTGCCAGCTATAACATTATGCCATTCGGGACATTTACAGATGAGACTATGATTAGTCCTTTTCCCCCTAATGCCCAGTACTGGGATCGCTATATTACTTCCTGTTAGCAGAGTGGATTCAGTTTTTCTGACAGCAGAGGATCTTGGAAACTGTTGTGTTATAGCCAATATATCCTGTATTTTTTAATGCTGATTGAACTAAAAGTAACACAGAGCTGACAATCAAAAAGGATGTCCTGAGGGGACTGTCACTGTTCAGTCTGCTGATATACTGTAGGTACACCTAACTATCGCATGCACTGTTTTACCCATACAAAGGGGAAAGATGTTTGTAATTGTTGTTGACTATTTGTAGGAAGATTAAACCCAAGGATTTCGGATTTATTATATTTTATTTTTAAAATCTATAATCTTCCATACCTATTCAACTCATACATAGTAAGGGTTCTAGTGTCAGAGCGAACAGAAAAGGTGACAGGGGGCAGCCCTGTCTTGTCCCATTTCTAATTTGAAACCTGTCCGTATTCTATCTTCTGCTTTCTGATATAATGAGGATATCCACCCCCCTATTCTGTCACCTATGCCAATTTTGCCAGTGTTTTGCTTTTATGCTTTAACTGGGGATGTATATCCTAAACCCATTATTCCTGTAGACTACTCTTTTGAACATGTCTAATATAGAAGCGATACTAAAGAATTGTGTCTCTTGAATTATTATTCTATACTGTTGAAATATGTCTGAACCCAGAGTGTCAGAGGTGACAGGAAGCTTGCAACGTCATGGCAACCACTGGGAACAAGCATTGTCAAGCTCCCCCTACGGAGGTAGCACTACACAAGCAATGAAATTAGGTCCAAAGCCCATATGATGCAGTACATCATATATGCCCAGTCTACAGAATCAAAGGCCTTCTCCATATCACCCTCGCACTAAATTTGGAATGATAATCTGTGAGAGGGTAAAGCCATAACATTTTAAAAACTAAAAAGCAATGTGTGTATTTTTCTTAAATTACCTTCTCAGTGTCCTCTTTCTTCACAGATTTTAGGTTGGCACGCAAGTCCATGGAGACCTTATGTTTCGAGCCCAGAAGAGCACGGAGCATAGCGTCAGCAGAAACCCGCACTCTACGAAGTGGCGGTCTCTTAAACTTGCCACGCAGATCCAACACCTTCATTCTTAGGTCTTGAATCTATAATGGAGTACATTTTTTATATAAACATTTTGTACCTTCTGTATTATCAGAAAATCATGTTTTCTGTGGTTTAAAAAATTTATACAATTTGTCCTACCAAAATGGAATTAAAACTTTATGGTGTAGTTCCTATAGAATACATACATTTGTATCTAAGTTACTGTCTTTAGATTCCTTTTCCTTTACAAATGTCAGCATGACTGAGAAACTGTATAAACTCCAAGTTACTAAGGGCCCCCTAAGTGGCAAGGTTTCAATTTATGGCAGTAATGTCCCTATCCAATAGCAGCAACAATAACTTACTTCTCGTGTATTATGAATGACTTTTGCCTCAATGTCATATCTTTCCTCATCAACAATGCCAACTTTCTCATGGAGCTCCCGACATAGTTCCTGCAAAAATGGTGTTAGGGGAGAACTCAGTGACAGTACTTTGATTCGCTATTGCAAACAGTGTTTGATGTCAGACAGCATATTGATACAGATCCCAGCAGAATAAATACCTGTAAGGCAGCAAGTCCCAAACCATGTGTGTTAGTATGTGGGACCCTTTCATTAAGATATCTCTGCTTTTCCTCTTGTGTTGTCATATGCTCTTGATCCCATGCTTCTTTTGCTTTTGCCAGCATCAAACTCTGTGAAGATACAGCAAATATTTAAGACATAATATACCCCCAGATGCAATGCTGTATTACCCATTACATTTACCAGAGTGTTCTATAGCTGTTCCTATGTCTAAGTTTAACTTACATTGTAAATTGAAATCTTCTAGGAATCCTATTTCCTACTAGTTTGTGAAAAGTGCACTACTTTTTCCAGAGGCCTTCCAAGAGCCAGATGTAAAATTTTAGGCAGCCTCAGCACTGATTTGCCACAGTGAGCCTCCTATTGATGGTGGGATACCTGCAAAACGACTTCAGGGAAAATTCTAAGAAGCAGATTTTCACTTTTTACACTAGCTCTAATTATGTAAATATAGTAGGCAGGTCATCACATTGAACAGACTGTGTGAGAAAGTTTGAGAAAGGTAAAGTGAACCTATAACCAGACTATGCACATATTTGCATATTCCAATCAAGCAGTAAATGCACTTTAAAACAAGCCCCAATTAACCACTTGCCCTCCTGAGGATTTACCCTCCTGAGGATTTCCTGACCAGGCCATTTTTTGCATTATGGCGCTGTGTTACTTTGACTGACAATTGCGCGGCCATGCAAAACTACACCCAAATGAAATTTACGTCCTTTTCTTTCCACTAATTGAGCTTTCTTTTGGTAGTATTTGATCACCTGTGCGTTTTGCGGTTTTTTTGCACTATAAAAAATAACACTGACAATTTTGAGAAAAAAACAATATTTTTGACTTTTTGCTATTAAACATATCCAATAAAAAAAAAAAATCAATTTCGTCATGTAGGCCAAAATGTATTCTGCTACATGTTTTGATAAAAAATAAATCCCAATACATTTAAAATAATTGGTTTACGTGAAAGTTATAGTGTTTACAAATGGCAGTATATATACTGGGATTTTTTTTCTTTTTTTACTAGTAATGGCGGCGATCAATGACTTATAGTGGGACTGCGGGACTGCGGTGGACATTCTGACACTGGAAGGAACTTACTTGGTGTCACTGACATCCCCAGTGACACCAATATAGTGATCAGTGTTAAAAAAATGGCACTTGGCAGGAAGGGGTTAACACGAGGGTTAAAGGGTTAACTGTGTGCAGGGAGTGTTTTACTAGGGGGCTTTGTCAATGTGCTTCACTGTAAGCACACTGCTCTGGATGGCTGTTTCTGTGCACAGCCATCCAAAGCAGTGTGCCTGAGCTGATAGGGAGAAGAACGGTTAGTAAATAAAACAGTCCTCCTCCCCGTCGGAGATGCTCGGTAACAGGAGTGGACTGACAACTCATGGGGCCCTTGTGTCCTCTCCCAAACCCAAAAAAGCCTATGAAAAAGCCAATGAAAGGTACCAGGGGCATCTCATGGGGCCCCCTACTGAGCCAGGGACCTTCGGGCAGTGCCCAAGTGCTCAAATGGTCAGTCCGTCCCTGCTCGGTAATCACTGGGTGCTGGCGGGTAATCACCGGTACCCAGTGATTGAAAGCTGTGGCCACAAATGGTGGTGCGGGTAGGGCACGCGTGCATCTCGAGCATGCCCCCTACCCGGAAATGCGAAATCATATATATATATATATATATATATATGTGATTTGGTGCACCCCTGCTGCCCTGTAGCAGTATATCTGCTATAGGGCAGTGGGAAAGCGGTTAATCTTTGTAGCTTTAGGCAGTTTAAAGGAATTAATGTTCAAATTCACAACAGAGGCCTATAACTAGAATTTTGGCAGGTTGCAAATGTTTCTTAGTTGTTAGAAACTGACTGAAAATCGACTTTATTTTTGGAGATCTTTCAAAATAAATCATCTAACAATACAAGCAGCTACAGAGATCAGATATGACTTACTTAAAGCTCATTTACTTATTGTTAAAAATATATACAGTAAATACTCCAACTTCCATAATCTGGGCACAGATGCGCATTAAGGCTGCCACAGATACTATGGGACATTCATATAGTGCGTGCAGGTCCAAGCTTCCTCAGGTACTATATATACTAGCCACCAGGTCTTTAAACATTTAAGGGAGTAAATATTCATTTTTAGCCTATAGGGAGGAGCAGTAAAGGTGTACAACAGATAACTCCCATGCTGACCTATTATGGGAATAACAGTAGTGAATGGACCTTATATTTTGACATGTCTGATTGTTACCCTAGCATCATCATCCAAGAGTCTTGTCCAGCATTAATGTAAAACAATCTTCCAGCATTTGTATTGCCCCGCCCCCATAAATACTTACCTCTTTCTTCTTTCCCTGCATTTACAGGACAAAAGAAGCAGCGGGAGCCATTGGTTCCTGCTCTTGTCAATCAAATACTGTGAGCAGAGAGGAGGGGGTTTAGGGCCGAGCCATTCTATGTGTGCTTATAGACACACACAGCCTAGCTTGGAAGCCTACAGGTGTGCCACCATAGGAAACGGTATCCTATGGTGGTACACAGAGAAGAGGAGGAACCAAGAATTCCAACAGGGGACCTCACAGGAGGAGAATCGGGGCTTCTTGGTGCAATACCATTCCACAGAGCAGTTATCTATATCCCCATTTGGTTTTTTTTTTAATTAGAAGAATACTTTCCATTCACTTGAAATTGTTATTTTTGTGTTGAAGTATGCTCTAAGTAATTATCTTGTAAACCTTTAAGAAGATACCAGTTACATTCCTTTATCACCACAAAACTCACTAACCATCTGTTGTCTCCATGCCTAACTTAATGTATTTTTTTTCATGCTGATTTTTGATGCTGTACTGATATTATTGCTTACCTTTAGCAGAAGCTTACGTGAAGCTGAAATCTTTGATTTCCTCTAAAAGACAGAAACCATTACACCAATAAATCATCACTCATTCATGTATACTAGCTTAAAATTCATGAATTACTGTAGACACAGTGCAAAAGGTAAGTGCATTTACAAGAAAAATAAAAAAGAGAGAAGCAGCGCCATCTAATTGCAGCAATAAAAGCAAATAAAAAGTCAAACTAGTGTTAACTGCTGTTCAAATCCTGTTCGGTGCAGCTGCAGGTAGGTCTCCAATGAACTGTACTTAGCTGTGCTGGTGGTTTCCAGTACTTCCTGGTCTGTGTGGATCCACAGGGCAGGCAGAAGTGATGTCAGCTCCAGGTACAGCAGCAGTAGACACGTCACATGGAAAGGCCCAAGTGTCATCATATGTTAATACAAAAATATATCAAGCCTCCCTCTCTTAAACTAATTAAACTAAGTGCTCTTAAATTAAAATACAATAAATAAAATACAATAAACATATAAGGAGAATATTAAAGGAAAACTATGCAAATTAGAAATACATCTCACTATGCATTATAACATAGAAACCACAATTGCCCTGCACGAATAAATAAATAGATATGTAAAAATAGAAATGTTTATACATATACAAGTGATTCAATATTATTGAAAATGTGTATACAAAAATTCTGGATGATAATAATAATGCTACCTATGCCATTTGGGAAAATGAAAATAATATACGAGAAAATAAATAAAGAATAGAAAAATAATAAGAATCGTGGCAGGATGGCCAGCTACCGGAAATATTGGGAAATGGATGTAACTATGGATAAGCTGAAGATCTAGAGGTATCAAATGAGTAGGTGTAACCGTAGCGTATATGATACTCTATGAAAAAAGCATATGGTGTACAAACATGTAACATATGAATCAGTTATAGTGCCGAGGAAATGAGGGCAAAAAAAGGCACCAAGAGACAGGCAGGAGGGGCAGGGGACCCCCCCCCCCCCCACAACTCCACCACTAAAAGCCTGTCAGCTTGCTTCCCAAAAAGGGGAGAACAACAATGGAGATATGCCAAGGAGACACATCTGTAAAATATTTAGAGAACTGTAGTGACTTAAAGTTCCTCATTCAATTCGCCAGGGGCCAAAGTGTCCAAGGTATAGATCCAAAGTGTCTCTCTTTCACAGAGACGTTTAAAAAACGTTCTGCTGTTGGTACCTCCTCCTCCTCCATACCTCCTCTATGGTCTTATGAAAGATCATGCATGCACTGAATGTGTGCTACGCCTACTGCACCTGGAGTCATCATTACTTCTACCTGCCCTGTAGAACCACACAGACCAGGAAGTACTGGGAACCAGCAGCACAGCCAAGAACAGTGCATTGGAGACCTACCCGCAGCTGGACTGGTCAGAATTTGACACCACTTTGACAAGCGCTCAATTGACTACTTCTGTTGTGAGTTGCCAATTTTGTGGAAATAAATTATTTGTTTTTATTACTGCATTTAGATGGTGCTGCTTCTCTCTTTTTTACACACAAGAGTCTCTTCTAGAGCTTTTGGAATTGGCTGCCACTGAGTCAAGAATTGTTGTATTATCCCTAAACCACCTTTGAGCTTTAAGGACTTTACTTAAACCATATCTCCCTTTTTAGAGGAGATATGGTCTTTAACCATATCTCCCTTTTTAGAGGAAACTTACTTTGCCATATGTCACTGGTTTTCCTCAATTTTCATTTACATTCTTGTACTTTCTGAATCCATAAAATTAAGCAAAAATGCAGCCAGTGAAAACAAAAGTTCTGGTATGAAATGTTGCCTTTAGTCACATCTACCATGTAAGGAACCAACATTAAAACAATATTAAGTCCAAAACCAAACATGTAGTACATTGCAGCTTACCACTCATTAAATGTGGTGGCTTACTGGCCAGACCAGCAGATGAAAAAAAAAAAAGGAAGGAAGGCCTAAAAAAGAAAACAAATGCAGCTGTCACATATAAGAATTGTTAAGCTGCAATATAATCAATGTTTGCTTTTTGGTTTAATACCACTGTGATCCTTGATTAGTAGATCGACCTTTTGAGGTAAAAACCTCCCTGTGACTCTACTTCACTCAATAATGTTATCATACTACTGTTAAAACTAAAGAGAAAACACAAGTGAAATAGTCCATGTGTCAATGCAAGTATACACATTATTTTATTATATTACAAAAAATACCCACAAAATATACAATGATAAAAAAA